GCAGGAATGAGTCCCCTGTGTGTATACACTGACACATTTATTAGACCTCTTCAGTGAAGTATGACATTTCATGCTACTTCTATGCACAAAGTATGAAGCAAAATAAGGATCTGAAGACACTCAGAAGATAAATTTAAGTGATTATAAACATCTTCAAAATGTTTTATAGAACACACCTGCAGCTCCCCAAATGAAGACAGCAACCCTGCACCGTATGCCTTGAGTGAGTCACCTTCCTTGCATAGTCCAAACTCCACTGTAAACCAATAAACCTAAAAAGAAAATAGACAGAAGCATACGATTCCTTGATCAAAGAATAGGTGCACATCATTAATTTGATTACATTTGGAGTTTGCATTTTTTCAAACGTTGCCATATGTCATATATCAACTGTATAAATTCAGTAAATGTCCCCACAGACAGAAATTCTTCTTCTGAAGGGGCGCAGTGCTAGACTCAGTGTGCCTGCAAATCAGTTCCGTTTCCTGACAAACACAGTTGTGTTTTATTGTGCTTACATTTGTCAGCAGAGCACAGACAATGAAACTATAGCAATAAAATTTCATTTTGGCTAGCTGACTGAAGTTTGAACCTTAGTTGACAGAAGTTTGTGTCCTGTTTCACACAGAGGGCATCTAGCTGCAGCAGCAAGAGAGGGAATGGGCAGTTAGTGCAATATTGAAGGAAGATGGTGTGTGGCCTAGCTTGGCTTCTTGGTCTGTCATTTTGAAGGGATACCTGCTCTGGCTCTGAAGAATTATCTTATCTATTAGAAGCAGAAAGATGGTGCAATGTTTTGCCCAGGTGAGTTGGTGCTGGGGACACTAATCTTACAGGTATACCCTTGTTTTTATTAGAAGTTTGCAATGCTGGGTCTCAGTAGTCTCAGAGTAGGATTTAGGTGAGTCACACTGACTGCAGAGGACATTATCTACCTGGCAAGGTGGAAGAGAAGAGACACTTGCAGGTAGAACAGCTACTGAAGCTGCCTCATGAAATTTCCTGTGGGGATGTAGTAACATGTAATCTCTTCTTGCCCAATATGTTTGTGCTGGAGGAAATCTTGTCTGGGTTTCTGCATTTAATCACATCTGTCACTTTGATTAAGGGGTGCCAAAGCCATTTTTCTTTAATACAACTGTTTCAGGGTGGAGTTTTCCAATCATAGACTTCACTCTGTTTCCATCCAGCTCTATGGGAGTTCTATCAGTGACTTCAGCGGCAGCAGAATTAAGACAACACAGGGCACTTTGGAAAATTGAACCCTCATTTATTAAATTACCGTAGCAAGTTTCTCGATGAAATCATCCGGAGCTCCCAGAGATGCCAGTCCAATTTCCTGTAACAATAAACCATTATTCTTCAAGCTGTTTATTACAAACATTCTTCCTGTCTTGTCTTATGTAATTTCTCACATTTTAAATGTTACCATTGCTTACTACCACACACAAATGTTTACAGGACATGTTCCTATCATGCAACATCAATTTTAAACCAGAAATCTCTCCAGAAATGAACAAAGGGTCTTGTCCAAATGTTATTTACAAGGCAGGATCCTTTGTGCCCGATACAAAGCCCATTGAGGCCAAATTAAATTGTCCTCTTGCTTTAACAAGCTTTTGATCAAGTCTATAATGTGCAACTGAGAGAATGATATGGTCAAAAGGAGGTAAATCAATCATACCCACACACCTTAAATACTTCTCTTTGTTCTGATGGACTGTGATTGCAGAAGTTTTCCTGGAGTCTTGAATGAGTTATTTTTGCTGAATAATGGAGCATGATTTGAATGAGCTTATTCATACCTTGGGAGCTAATGCAGACTTTCCTAGGACATATAGCTGGATTCAGAAGACAGCCACACAAGACTCTATATAACCAAGTTCCTTTCTTGGTTTGTCCCAGTGAGGACTTGGAGTGCCCCACACACACTCCCAAGACCATGGGAGCAGACATCACCATGTCAAACCCTAGTAAGCCAAGATGCAGAAGGATTTCTCTTGAAGGGAACCCAAGTTCTGAGAAAGGGCAGAACCTGAGGGCAATCCTGAGTGCTTACTAACTACATCAAGTCAACTTTTATCTTGTCAGCAGGAAGCCCTTCCTTCCTTCCTTCCTTTGCTCCTTCCCTCGCTCCATCCCTCACTCCTTTCCTCCTTCCCTCACTCTCCCTCTTTCCTCCCTTTTCTTTTTTCTCATCTTTATTTTTCCTTCTTTCCTTTTTTCCTCCTTCTCTGTATCTTTTCATATTTTCTGGTAAGATGCAGCCAAAAGTTTACTCCTTCACCGAGGTTTGGCTTCTTTTCCAGAAATGTTAACACTACCAAAGAGAAAACTCCCCTCCAGCCTTCTCCCAAGCTTGCAGCTGAGACAGTTACTCACTTTAATCAGCCTCCTCTGTGGCTTCAATAGAAAACAAAAAAACCCTCCACTTTCCCTAACATTTAGACTGCATGGTGGGGAAATAATTCATCTGATGCATGAGCCATTTAACTTTGCTCAGCAGGATCAACATCTACAGAAGGGTTTTTAGATGATAGCTTTGCAAAAGGTTTGCCTGCAAAAAAACAATTCACGTAAGACACACGTTTGGAGTTGGAGTGAATGAGTTCATGTAAGTGATTTGTATCGAGACTTCAAGCAATAAGTAAATTGGCCTCAGCCACTCTTAAACAGTATGCTTAAAGGTGAATCCACCCCAACACTCATACCTCTTGGCTCATCGTCTGAATTACCAAGTCCCTGGTGTGTTCAATTATATAAATAATATAACCACTGAGAAACTTACCTGCGAAAACTGAGCAAAACTGGGATCAGCAAAAAGAGGCACATGTCCTAGCAGCTCATGACAAATATCACTGCAGGAAAACATGACATCTGAATAACTTTAAATTAGAAAAAGTCCAGCAATGCTGGATGAATGCCCTAGCATCAGCAGATAATCAAGAGTGCTGTGCATTTGCTCCTAACAGCAAATAATGCTCAAGAATCATGTCCCAAAATTATTATTGTGATGGAAAAGCTTGCACACTCCAAGGTTTTCAGTAATTCTATCGTCATGCATCCCTCAGAGGAAGGCTGATATATTATTTGTTTGTGCTTATGGAAGAAAACCATCCATTCAACTGCCTGCTCAGCTCAGGAAAGCCAAGAAAGAAAACAATCCACCAAAGAGAAAATGGACTTTTCAGTCTCAAAGGACAAGAAACCTCTTTAGATTAAGTTCAGGCTATTAGGACAATTCACCATGGTGTCAACATCTACATCAAGAGCTCAAGTCCAGTCCCTGTTCAGGACCACAGCCTCCCACTAAAAGACAGGAACTTGCTCTTCCTTAGATAGGACTATTTTCATCACAAGTGGCAGCTTAACAAGCATGTTTGGGGAAGAACTCACCTAAAGACTGCTAGATTTTTCAAAGAGAGAGAGTGATTTGGGAAGAGGGAAAGGGGAGAGGAGTAAGATGCTCTCAGGAGGGCCAGGACTTTGGAAGACATTTCAGCATGGCTTTGTGCAGGATGAGAATGGGGTAAGCAGAAGTAGGGAAAACAAATCAGAAAAATGAGGGATAGAAAAATGGAGAGGGAAAGGAGGTTGTGGGAAGAAGCAGGAAGCAAGGAAAAGATAAGGCAGGGGAGGAAGAATTGTGACAACATGAAGCAGAGGAAGAAAACTGTTTTGAAAACGGCACGTGGAAAAGGACAATGGACAGGGACAGATAGAAACATTATGGCATAAAACTGAAAAAGAGAAGGGATCAATAGTCTGGTCTTCCTTTATGTTGCTGCCAGAAGCTTGCATGCAACATGTTGAGTCATTCCTGCACTAGATTTCACACCACTATTTGGGTGCTAATAGCTAAGCTAAATGCCTTTGTACACTGCTCTCTCTCACATCCCAGACACCACACAAGCATGCTTTCAGTAGCAAAACTGTCTCATGCATCCCATGAGAACTTGCAGAAGAGGATGAAGCTTGTTAAAAAGACTAGAAATCTTCCAAAAAATGTTTTCAGAAGAGAGCAGCCACTTGGCTGCTCTCCATTAACTCTGTTCCCAAGAGTGCTCCAGAGTCCCACATGGTTATTATCAGTTGGGCTGACCCTGCTTTTAGCTTGCTGCAAATTTACACACTTTCTGTGCCAAAATACTTACGGCTCTGGTGTGTACATAGGTTTGGATGCATGGCGAATATACTGTGTAGAGTGGAATACTCGGAATGCCAGCCCAGCCAAGAAATCCCTAGAGGACAGCAAGCCTGCAACAGGACGCAGGCGAAATCCAGTGCAGGCTGAAGGGACAAAAGAATGGTGTCGTGTTTGATTTATCCTTATGCAGACTCCTCACAGTGGAAAAAGTTTGATAATTGTTTTGTTTGCTCTCCTTATGTTAAACAGAGTTTAATTGTGAAAAAGCAGGGAATTTTCTACCCATGTATACAACCATCACAGTATCTGAGTACCTGTACCATTGTTCCCCTGGAAGGTTTAGAGAGGCACATGGGGTACACAGGCTAAGTGATGTGCCAAACACCATGGGGAGCCTGTGATAAAGCAGGGATCACTTTTCCATCTCTGGAAGCACCATACCACGGACAGCTGAGGCCTTTCGTTTGCTTTGGTATTTTTTAATATGCTGCAAACTTACTCTGCAAGAATTTTGAAACATCTTCAAGCTGGGGAATGTTGTCCTCCCGGTAGCCACAGTACTTCTCCAGCAGCGGGAACACGTGATTGTGTTCATAACAAGCATGAGTTGGATAGAGATTCTTCAGCTCCCTGAAGACGGTGCCCCAAGTTTTTCTTTCTTCTTCTGTGTAGGTTACTTGAGGAATAGGCTGGCCACTGGAAAGAAAATGGATATACTCCATAAAAGCAACAGAGAAAATGTCCTGTGTCACCAGCATCATACTCAAGACCATCACATGGACTGGCCAGAAGCTGTTAGTGCAGGAGGGGAGATGCTTTTGGTCTGACACGCAGGTGTAAAAGGAGCTTCACTTGCCCCTAGGCACAGGCTGGGAAGGTCTTTAATGACCTCAGCTGAGATACTGGCCTTTAGACAACTCCTTGCGTTATTGTGGTGAAAACAAGTAAGTGCTTATTTGTCTTAGAAAGATGTTCTTCTATGTATATTTACTGGCTGCTAGTTTCAGTTTATTTGCATTTCCAGATATGAAGCAGCTGTTGTACTTCTTGCTCTAATACACATTACATTAATTGTTTTGGTTACAACAGGGAAACCATCAACTCCAAAAAACTGTTTCTTGGAGGGGCAGAGAAATTCTGATCAGTGCTTTATGCTGTAACAGATGCAGACTCCAGCCACATTGACTTTTTACAATTATAATGAGTAATTTTGAGTCAAATCCTACCCTCAGGCCTCCATGTGCTTAGTTCATGTTGAAGCTAGCAGGAATTAGACAATCACAAGCAATGTATTTTGGCCTCCCATGAATAGCCAACTCCTTTGCAATAATGGTAGGGCCATAGGTGAATCCAGCAGCTTTGAAAAATCAAAGGGTTTTAAGTAACTTAATAGGGTTAACATCACTGCTGGAATAATGCTGGAGCTTTCCAAGCCCCAGAGACCCATTGTTAAACTCTTGATGACACCCCACTATCTCCCACTCCCTCTTCTTTTCCTTGATCCGCAGGGCAGCTCCTCTGGAGCACCGTCGTTTTCTGTCTCTCTGTATCAGCCCTCCTTGATCTGTGGAGCTTTAAACATCATGTTGAATTATGAAGATTGCTGGGGATTGTTGTTCTATAGCACTCCTAAGTAATCCTCAACCACCTTCCAGGGTTACAGGGGGAAGCTATGGCTTAGAAACCTTTCAAATTTCCATTAAAATATTTCAAGGGTCAACAGGGCTGGAAGCAATGGAAGGCAGAGGGAAAAGGCAAGCTAAAAGCAAAGAAAAGAAAAGTCAGGGAAATTAAGCATTCCATAAAACCAGCAGGTAAATGTATCAAGAAAGAAAGCAAAAGAGCAAAGGCAGAGTAGAGAGGCAAACAGCAGGAGAAAAGAGGACAAAATAGGTAAAAAGAAGGGGGGCACAGAAGAGGGTAAAATTGATGGTGGGAAGAAGAGTTCAAGACAAGCAACCACAGACCCACCTCACTTTTCTAGATGGGTAGCACCTTCACAAGCTAAGCACATTTGCCTTTTCAGATACTTCCTACAAAGCCTGATATCTTTGGATGTCTCTTTTCTCCTGCCCAGTTCTCTTGCATCTCTGTCCTTCCATGCTGCAGACACCTCCTTGTCCTCTCCCCCCCACAGTAGATCCTAAAAGGAATGTCTGTCAGGTGTAGCACCCAGAGCAAAGACATCACAAATCCAGCTAGGCCTTCATGAATCAACACCCAAAGTCACAGAAAACACATGCCTTCTTTCCACAAGTCCCAGAAGCTCAGATGCATGACACCCTACTTACTGCTCTGTTACTGAAAGACCTAATTGGAAAATCCAATTATTTCACATAAAAGGTGCTTTTGGGACATAGGTCCAGGTCTGTATAGGCTCTGTTACCAATATGTCAGAGTATCTGGCTAACAGACTAAATATTAATTAGTTATATCTTGTAAGATAATGGTTTCATCTGAATAAGATGGTTTCTGTTTTGATTTTCAGGGGGAGGGGAATAACATTAGTTTTGTTTTATTTCTATGTAGGATTTGGTGAAAGCATGCAAACAAGAGACCAGAATTTGCTATCCATTATGCAGGAAAGGTGTATCTTCTGTGGGACACCTATAAACGGGCATTAAATCCATCTACATCTGGCCATAAAGTCTTACCCAAATTTTCTGGTTTTAAGCTGGGCTCCTGACTTTTTTCACCTGACTTTTTTTCACTTTCCATCAATCGGTCCAATTTGGCCTCTCATTTTGCGATTAGATTATTAGCTCTTTGGCTCAGGGACTGTCTTTTCACCCCAGTCCTGTGAAGAGTGGAGCCCCAAATGTACAACATATGTTAGTTTATCCTTTGCAATCACAATTTTTTCCAGTCCCAGAAAGACACAGGCCTAGTAGTACTGATACAAATGTGTAAGTGACTCTAGGAACAGAATTTTGTCTCCACCAGATCTGATCACTGAAAGCAATCAAGCAAGCCTGTTCTAACTGAATTTATCATTTCCATTTATTTTTCTTGGGAAATGAGAGCCCAAATTGCTGATTGCAGCTGGGTCAGACATGATAAAAGTAGAGTATCAAGTGCTGGATTAGCATCAGAACCATAAGTTATTCATTATTTTAATAGTGTATGCAGCTCCTGCTTTAATGTAAATGATACGCACTCCTCCCCCAGGGTTGATTTAATGGGGAGAATACCAGAAACGGCTTTATTCAAAGCTCAGGTCTTTGTAGTAGCAACAGAGTCTGATGCTCAATTAGACAACAAAGCTGGAGAAGAGGGGTGTTGTGGGGAAGGAAGGGAGGAGATGTTCTCTTCTGAACATGTGCCTGGAACAATTTACTTTTGTTTTACTGCAATTTGGGGATAAATGCATGAACAGGAAGATTTAAACACATGGCAGATTTACAGGAGGTAGCAGCAGAAGGACGCTTGTGGAAAAGTACAGATTGTCAGCACGGTGAGAGCCCTAAAAGAGGGCAGGAGATGTGGCCTTACTTTCTGCCCATGCACGGAGCACTCACTGTTTGTAATTGTAGGCGATATCTGCAAACTCCTTCCTCCGGGCCCGGTACACAGGATCTTTGAACCCCTAAAGAGGAACAGCAATGGTCACTCCCTGCGTAAGTGCAAATGGTAAACTACTTTCCTTTCACTGAGCAGCCTTGTGCATGGATGGTGCAGTCTAAGAAGTGAAGGAGGGTGAGTAGGGAAGCTGCCTCCATCCTGCCCAGCTCTGCTCCTTCCTGGTCTGCAGGGCCACCAAAGCAAACATCCTGCCACAGCCTCCCAGCACCTCTTGCCCCTCAAGTCCTTTCATTTTCTCACTTCTACTTGCAACAAAAGAAGGAAACATAGTCCTTTACAGTGCCAACAAGGTGCTCCCCTGGGAGCAGTACACTGAATTAATGTCACTCAAATAACCACGTCCTTCTGGTTTCTCAGTAAGATTGTTGCAGTTCCTGGCACAGCTGGGCTGACCTAGAGGAGCAGAGTTAGACATCTCCAGTTAGATGACACTCATCAACTCAATCATACTTCTTCAGCAGATTTTCAGCATGAACCGCACTTAAAGGTGCTCGTTTCCAAACTCTTATAAGACCAGAGGCACTTTGCAAGCCAAAAAAGCCCTATTTGCACTACAAATTCAACCATCTGAAGGGATTTAATTACTACAGAAAAATGACTAATAGACCTTGTGGTTGGGAGCTTGACCTTTTCAGCTAATTACCAATAAAACCAGGGATGAGAAATATAATTTCTAAATCTTCATCTAAGATAACCATTCCCTTATCCCAGTGTGCCTGCTATTTAGACTAAAAGTTCCACACGGCTAGGAGTGCCTTCACCAGCTAAGGTGGAGAAACATCCTTCCAAGCTGGACACACTTCTGCAGGGCAAATAGCAGCAACTTACTGGGCACTGCAGCAGTTCCTGCATGCATCTCTTTGTGGTATACGGCACAGCTGGACTGAATGACCACGAAGCTACAACCATGTACAGGAGGCAGCTAGAGTGGAGATCTAAAAGTGTGAGTCAAGAAGGGGCAGCCAGTGGCCTAAAAAATGTGCTGTCCGAGATTAGCCTGGCATAGAGGTATTTGTGATTAAATCCCACATCACTTAACCATTAAAATCACAGGCTCCTTTAATTTCTACTTTAGGCAGTCTATGTACTGTCACACCTATTTTCCCCAGCAGCTGTGTTTTCTTTTTAAGGCATAAGCTACTCACTAACTAATTCTAGGAACTGGAGCAGAGATGCTTCATTCTTTTTAATATCTTTTTTGTTTTGTTTTGTTTCTTTTTTTAAATACAATCCTGGTCTATTCCCGCATGACACACAAGGGGGCCATTGACTCAGTGTATCTCCTTTCATTCTGCCTTTCATATGACCACGCTGAACATCATGAATCATTGTACATGATACATAACACATCTCGAATTAAGCAATAGGTAGTGAATGACTAATCACCCCATCTCAATTAAACTAATAGCTGCAATTTTTGTTGCACTGCATGTAATTTATTTATAATCACCCCATCTCAATTAAACTAATAGCAGCAATTTCTGTTGCACTGCATGGAACTCAGTGTGTTTTGACAAAAGAAAATAAGTTGTTGTTTGCTTGGAGAGGGAATAGAGGCAGAAAGTATTCTTGCATCTGGAAGAGCTGAAAAAACACTATTTTATTTTTATCAGCTGGACCAATGAACCAAACTTTCTGACCCTACCATTTAAACCACAAACTTTTTGAAACAAGGACCTTTTCTTTTGTTGTGCCTCATGGTACAAGAATCATGTCAGATTGAACAACCACATAAGTAGGTATTAAGCTCAATCATGTGTATATGTAATTAAGGATTAAATAAACCAGTCGTCTTATCTCTGGGCTCTGATATGGTGCTTCTAAAGTTTTTGTTACTAGTGATTCAGAGAATAAGTCTAAAGTCACCATGTCAGAGCCACATGGGAAAACTAGAGGTGTCCTTGTGGTGGCCCTGTGCTCTGGTGACAGCTATAATTTTTAAGGTCTGGTATTTGTCCAAATTAAAGCAACCTTTGATCTGATTTACTTCATAACCAGGGATTGGGCTGATTCTAACAAGAAAGGTAACCAACGTGGTACCCTTCTTGTCCTGTATCATGTGAGACTTAGTCTATTAGGTCTGTCTGAAAGCAGAGCATGTGTAAATGAGAGAAACATCTGTCCCAATAACTAGAAGCATGTTAAAAACATAAAGCTTTTTTTTCTTACAGGATGATCAGCATCCAATTCTGCTCCATAGCTTAGGATCTGATTGGCAAACCTGTCCAGCTCTTGGATGCTTCTTGGGAACCATGGCACTGCAAAACAGAAAAGAAAATGAGAGTGGTATGCTTCTTCATTACTTGGTTTGGGCCTGCTTCCTGATCTTTCCTTCTTTTCATAGTAAATTTAAAGAAACATATGCAAAGGGCTAAATTCTTTGGCCAGCAATGGTCTTTCGCTATAGCAGAAAGCAAGAGCAAACCCTGCAAGTTGTCTTGAATTTGTGGTTGTTTTGGACTGTTGGAAGAATACAGAGCATCAGGAATGTCTAGCTCTTGGCACAGATCTGGCTTGTAATGTTTATGGTTTTCTGTTTATTATTCTGGTTTCTTGGCTTACCAAAATGTAGGAATTTTTCCAGGGTGTGCTTCCTTTCACAGTAGCTGGAATCAGCCATTTTAAAGGAATAGCAAGAAACCCCACAATAAGAAGGATACAGGATTATTTGACCCTCCAAAAATCTTTTTCTAAGACCTACTTGGTGGCTTCACTTAAGCTAGGATGCTGAAATAAAATGATAAATGGCACCCTAATACCTCAGACTGGCATTGTATTACTGTAGTCATTATACAATAATGCATTCATTTAATTGACATTTTGGGTCTGGTTTTCTATTGCCTTGTAACTCACATAGTATACACACTGCCTAGGGCACATTCAGGATATGAAATGAGACCACACTGAGTATACAGCATGCAATGCTCATGTGGCATTCCCCTTACAGAAGGACATAAGGTGGAGATCAAGGAAAAATCACAGAACTTCCCAGATGTGATGCGTTCAGACAGGGAAAAGTGGAAGGCAAGTGTCTTCATGGCAATTGCACTACGAGAAGGGGTTCTTTATAGCTCATGAGGTACATGGGGCAGCCATCCTAGGTCAGGTCTCCTTCCTGGCACTAACACCACCACCTAAGGATATACCCCATTTTCAGGGTGTGCAGTCGTGTCCCATATGGTCTCTGCACTGAGTAAAAGTCAGCAACACAGGCTTCAAGGTTAATACTACACATAAGTGTGCTGGTCCAAGCCCAAGGGCTTTCAGCAGTCTATCAGTAATATGTTTGGACATATTACTGTGACTTTCTTGCACAGATGGATGTCACTTGCTCAGTCAATGCTTGGAAAACAGCTCATTGCCCTGTGTGGCCCTCTGCTTAGAGCAGTGCCACTCAGCCATACCTCCCCATTTGATTGTGGGGGTTGTATCAAGTGAACCTGATCCCCAGCCAGCAGCTGCTGCATGAGTTCCCTGCAGTGCCCTGCTGATGGGGCTCATCCCAGACCTGATGGACCACCTACAGGATAAGAGGATCACTGTCTCCAGGACTATTCAGCCTTGCTTTATGCTGAGCCTAACAACGGGGAAGGCACTTGTGGCACTGGGCTTCTGCGAGGCACCTGCACAGAGGGGTCAGAGCAACAACAGCACATTTGCAGGGCATACTTTGGGCGGCCACAGCTCAGCCCCACACAGAGTGCCCACCTTCTACTGTCCTACCACTGGCCCAGCTCCATCCAACGCCTCCCCTCGGAGCCCTCAGTTTGTTTCAGGCAGGGCAGGGAGGGCAGGCATCTGGTTGCTGCCAGCTTGGAGAGGTCAACAAAGACCGAGCCCGGCTGCTCGGTAGTGTTACTGCCCAGCAGAAGTGGGGTTTGGTCCCTTCTTCCCGAGCAGCACACCCGTCCTCTTTGCCCTAAAGGACAGTCCTGAACGAGCCACTAGATGGCAGCAGCAGCCCCAGGAAGAGCTTCCCAAAATGACTTTTTTTGCGGGGTTTCTCCAGAAATACTCTCTCACCTTGCTGTTAGCATCCTTCCGGCACCTCCAACCCCTTGAGTTAAACTAGTCAGAGTAGAAAAAGGTGTCTTTGAGTCCTAGAGAGGGGTGATGGGCGAGCACACCAAGCCATCCTGCCCCAATTTTCTATATGGGCAGCCGGACACCGGGTTTATCCCCTAGCTCTGCCTCTGAGCTTTGTGTGATGGGGGGGGAACTGCTTCACTGTTTAGTACTTCAGACTCACCAGGATCAGCTCGGGGTGAGGCACACTGATAAATTTTGGATTAGGCACTGGCAAAAAAAACTGCCTGGCAGCCTCACAGCAAAGGATTTGTCAGTGTTAGACTGAATAACCACTATCTTCAGGGACATGCCATGACCAGAAGGGTCCAGGCTATGCAGACAAATCAATGGGGGCTGAAGTCTGACATGGATTTCAGCAGTGATGTCTCTGGGGTTTCTCTGCCCTGAATCAGAAAGGTGCAGGTTGGGACTCAACGTGGATCTTTTGCCTAGCCGTGGTGTGCAGGAGGCTGTCCCCAGCCCTCCCAGCAACTATTTAAAAGATCAAATCAAATTACCCCCTGGGTGAATCTATCCCATATTTTGTTTGCAACATCCTCCTCCAGCCCATTCGCCAGACTTGCTGTCTGTCTGCACGGCCATTAATGAATTGCCAGGGCAAGCTGTTGCAACACTGGGCCTCTGTGAAGGTCTGAGGAGCAAACGTGGGTTGATAGTAATAAATATTGATTTGTCTGTAAGAGAAACAGCAGCATTTATGGGATCGTGCTGGACACCCAAGTGGTGACCAAATTACCATGGGGTCAAATGCTTAGCAGAATGCTAATAAGCCATTTATATAAGAGGCAGCAAAGCAGGGGCAGCGAGGACTTCTGCAGAACTCCTCCATTCGGACCATTGTGAGGAGGGTCAAAGACAGGTCTATGCAATTTATAACAGTTCGAGGCCCAGGTTTAGTCCTTTCTTAAACAGTCCCAAATGCTTTGGCCAGCCTCAGGGTCTAGCAAACAAGGCCCCTACAGACCATCAGCTCCCAGCCTGTCTCAGAAATGCAATAAATTGTCTGCATTTCCCTAATGCTGCAACAGGATAATATTTAATTCTTTTTATTCATGGGCTCCAAGGGGACTGCAGATACCCAGCTTGTTTCCAAAAACAGCCATGAAGAGTCACACTGTTTTCACAACAAGTCTTTTCATCTCTAAAAAGGCTTCTGGCCCAGTGACTGCTAGCCCATCTCATCTGAAGCTCTAAAAGTACCTTTGGATTTAGGGCATTTTGCTGGCCTGCTGTCAGTTAAAATGACACTATTGATCCAAATCTGGTATTTGTAACCATTTGAGTGTAATTTAATTGAGACAAGACCCTAAAAGCAGTTGAAGGACCAAAAAAAAAAAAAAAAGACATTCATTTATCCCTTGCCCAATAAAGCACATACACACACTTTTAAAACTGAACTATACTGAAGAGGAAGCATATAGAAATTTCCTCTGACTGTCCACAAAGCAGTGCCTCAAGAATGGCACCATGTTCTTCCTACAGGAGACTGAGAAAAATAGGTTTGGGTTTGGTGGGATTTTTTCCTCAAATCGTGAGCTTGAGCAAAACTAATCCTTTGCAAGGAAGGGCTGAGACTATCTTTAGACAGCAGTGAAAGAACTGGTCCCATGGGAGCCTGGACTGCTTCCAGGAGAGAACCTTCATAACTTTTACCTGTCCGCTGAGAGGGGTGTGATAATATCCCCATAAAACGTATTTCTGAGCTTTTTCTCCCTGAGGATATATTGCTCTCATTCTGCGTTTTAGGAATAAAATTTCACAGAGCATATTGTGGATTATGACCAGATTTGGAAGATACATTTGAAAGGCAGGATGACCAAAAAGGCACCACAAGGCATGTTACTTGTTAATGCCATCCCTGATAAAGGACAGCATCTTACCACACTTCCTACAGCTTGGGCTGCTCCAGTCTCACTCTGCCCTTGCAGAGCTGTCTCAGCCCAGAATGTGCCACCCACAGTTCATCCCCTAAGCATGGCTTGTTTGACCTTTCAAAATATGGCTCTTTGGGGATTTCAGTTTGACTGGACCCTTACTACTCTTGGCAGAAGTTGAAATTGGGAAAAAAAAAAAAGAAAAAGAAAAAGGGAAAGGGCAAAAAGAAATATCAATCTTCCTCTTTTTCCTTGGCAATAAATTGCTCCCACTTTATACTATTTCTGAATTACTGAAACTAACAAACAAACACAAGTTATCCTCTCAAACAGAAAGGGATCAAGTCCCTTTCTGCCACACTGAAAGGATAATCTAGCTCAAAAACCCTTGATAAGCACAGTAACATGCAGTGAAATCCTAATACTACAACTGATCACAGGAGTTTTGACTTCTGTGAGGTAGGAATTTCACTCACAAGCCTTTCTTGGCCTATGTTTACAGCTGTGTCTCTATTCAACTCTAGCCTATGCTTATATACAACTTTATTATTTAATAAGGTTTATTATTAACTTCTTAATAATAATTAGAAAAATAAAAATACTGGCAAGCTCTGCTAGGCCCTGTAACTTTCTTCTGGAAATAAAAGAGTCCCCAAAAAAGAACCGCTTTGATTTGACACGATCATAAATCATCTAATCAACCTTTTGTCCCTTTGTCTCATGAATGGAGAGAACTGACTCCAAAGAGCCTTCTTCTTTTTCATCTTCAAATGTAACGTCATGGGTAGGACACAAAGGAAACGGTAAAAGGATTACCAGCACTGATCTCAAGAAGGTATTAATGTCCTTTCATGTTGTTCTTAGGAAGGAAGAGGAAGATGCAGACCTAAAGTATTTAAAGTCTGAAATCCTATTAAAATCACATCTGTTATCTGAAAAGGCATTTAAGCATGTCTCAGACTGGGTGCTGGGTAGCCACCACTGTACCAAGCAGCTTCAAATCCAGCAAATCTCTGAAAATTCGGAGTATGGTTTGCAAAATCTTTCCTATCTCCCTCCAAAGTCAGAATTACAACTGACCTCCCTGGGATTTCTTACAGGAATGAGAAGTTATTCTTGCTTCCACCAAGTGGGTTGCAGAGACTCACTACAGCAGGATTGAGGGGCATTCACAAGCCCAGGAAGTGGAGAGGCAGATGGATGGTGTGAGGGATAGCGGTGAGCAGGGTGGGCAGTCACCCATGGGACTTTTCCTCCCTCCTCTCATATCAGCCCAGAGGTACAAGGATCCCACAAGGATGAGGCTGCAACAGCCACAGCCAGGGTCCATGAGGCCAAATTGGAAAGTAAATCCAGGTGTTCAAAGGGGCGTGCCAGCCCCAGGGAGCACAGGAGGGTAATCCCTCCCTCTGCCTCATGAGGATGCCACCATTCCCTACCAGGCCTTGCACACGATTGGGCTCTTGTTGGCTCTGCTACATGACAAAGTTTGTGCCAGAGTGGTTTGTGAGGTCTCAGAGATATTTGGCAAGGGGGAGGGCACTGCGACAGCACTTTACAGCACTTCTAGATGGCAAAGTCTAACTGGGTTCACGGGGTCTGTGTATCACTTTAAAGTTAATATATAGCTTCTTTTCACCTGAGTGCTGTCTGCAAGAAGTGTTCAAGACATGGCAGCCCCCCAGCTGGGTCGCGTAATGCACAGTCATTGTAAATGTCTCCAGGACACCCTCTTGGTGACCTTCCTGGAAGACTCCAGGGATCCATCCTTCCTTAGGAAGGTGAAAGGCAGTCTTCAATAGGTAACATTTTTCCGCAAAATGGCACTGTAGAGGTTTGACTCTACTGGGTACTGAACAGACACATATTTATTTTGGGGATGGCGAAGGAGGTAAAAGGGGGCATATCGAGGCCGGGATTTCTCAGGGGAATTGATCTATGACCTACAAGCCAAGTCCACGCAGGCAGCTACAGATTTTGCTGGAACTGTTTGCCCTTTTAAACTGTGATTGAGTTTATGTGGGTTTTTTTAATCAGGACAGACAGTAACTAGACAGATGTAGTGCATCCCACATAGACAACCTTGTTTTCTCTCTTCTTCTAGGTTCTCATGCGTACAGAGAGGTTAAGAAAAGGTGAAAGTGTGCAAGCCCTGCAGTGACTTTCAGTGCTTAGTGGTCCAAAGGCTATGGGATGATAGTCAGAGATTCAGGGAACACGTCATTGGGCTTGATAAGCTAACCTATCTGGATTAAACATGGTGGTATGGATCACACCTGCACCCCGTTATTCCTTCACATTACAGATATGAATCAAGAACAAAAGTTGCCACCCTGCATGACTTACCCAAAGCTGTGTATATAAGTACTGCCTAATTTAAAACAGGGCAGAGATTGGGAGCCGAAAATAGATGTACCTACAACTTCCTGCACCATTGCTTAGGGATTTACAAGTTGAGCCCTTAGCCTGTAATTCAAATAATCCTTTGATGCCTGTTAACTTCTGCAGGTAGTGTAGCAAGCTATGACAACAAGGCTGTCTTTAAGAGACTGCGAGTGCTGTCAACCAACCAGACAGATGACAACATAACATCGTAACACCAGTTCCCAGGAGACCTAGGCAGAAGCATGGCAAAAGATGAAGCCTGGCAGTTTAAACTGAGATAAAATCTCCAAATGAAGAATCTTACAACATAGGCAAAATAGACAGAGGAAGGGAAATACAGCCATACAGATCCTTTGCTACAGGAAAAAGAAGTCATTTAAGTATGTGATGTAAATATTCCTTGACAATATTATCCTTGTCAGTGTATCCTTACCAGTGTCCTTCTTCTTTGTTCGTGAAAGCTCATGGACTGTTGCTCCAATATCATTTCTCAAGGACTTGATGATCTTGTCCAGTGCTGGGACATTCTTGCCTTCCAAGTTAATGAAGAATTCATACTCATCTTTGTTGAGCCGGGAAGGTCGGGACTCAATGTGGGTCAGGTTTATTCCTTTTTCCTATAAGAAACAGAGATTCTGGTCCCACACAGCTTGGGGGATGAAATATGACATAAAGACTAGCTAAAATTCATGTGTCAGACAACAGCTCCTACTATACAATCCAAACAACTCAAAAGTAGAGACTTGCCTATGGTGGCCATTGAACTGAAGACTTTCACAACAGGGAGGGAGACAAGAAGGAAGAATGAGAAGGATGCAGTATTCACCTTGTGCAGAGCACTAACATAAAGATTATGCATGACATAAACCTTTGAAAAAGGTGGAAGCAGGATACAAGTTGTAAACAGGCTTTGTATTGTAAATGGTGGCTCCAGTACTACAAGTACATAATGGAAGCTTGTCTGTGTGGACAAGAACATTTCCCCAGTATCAACTTGGGAAGTAGGCGTTCCACCTGAAGAGAACCCTCTCATGAGAAAATGAATGCTGTATTTATAAGCATCTTGAAAGGAGGTTGGAAAAGCAAGCAGCTGGGCACCCTGTGAGGTAAGCTTCTGCCAAGCCACTGCACAGTCACCTGCAAAGCCACCTGCATGGTTTCCAGGGCTGTGAGCAGGTGCTGGGCAGAGATCCAATTGGAAACACGGATCCGCATGAAAAAGGCAGCCAAGGGTTTTGCAAATAAAAACACTGGTGTTTTAAACCACAGAATCACAGAGCTGTTGAGGTTGGATGGAGCCTCTGGAGATCATCTAACAGTCTGCTCAGGCAGGGTCTGCTAGGGCAGAGTGCTCAGGACTATGTACAGTTGAGTTTTGAGTATTTGTACAGATGGAGACTCCACAACCTCAGTGGAGAACTGGTCCAGAGTCTGACCACTCTCACAGTAAAGAAGTCTTTTCTTTAGCACAGAAATTCAAATTCTGTCCCGCCAAATACCTTCCCTGACTAGCAGGGAAGCTCTGAAGAAAGGGATCATAGTCTTGCTGACTACAGCCAGTGGCTACCCAACCACAGACATGACACCATGTCAATGTGTAAGGCAACAAGTAGCCAAAAATCCTATTTTTCCAGTCACATAAACACAACTCCAGGAAAATCAACCTCAGTTTAGCTGAACTCAAATGTTTTCCTGAGCACTGTAATGTGAATATGAAAATAGAGCTTTCTTCTCTTTTTTTGAGAAAAACCTTTTAAGCACATTTTGGTTGGTGCTGACTTTACCACCTGACCTTCTTGTCAGGCTCACACTGGAATGGTGGCCACAGCACACCATGACCAGGTCTGGGCTTCTGTCCCTTGGGAGGAATAGACAAACCCCTGCAGGAAGTTTTGGATTGAGGATCAACCAGAGAGGAGTCAGAGGAGCTGAGACACAGTGCTCAGCAGCCCTGGAGCAGCTTTTGTTTTGCTGCTTTCAGGCTTAAGACCCCAAACTACGTGGGGTGAAATGATGGCCCTGTTGATGTCAGTGTCAAACCCCCTGCTGCAGTGGGGTCAGAATTTAATCCATGAAGAAATGCTGTGAGGATCTACTTGTGACCTACAGGGAAGAAAGAGGGAAGCTTTTTTAGTGTGCCTCCCTCCAGTCTGAGCTTCTCAAGCCCTTTAAGGTTTTCTTTGCTCCTCTCAGTGCTTGCACAGCGCAGGGGGGCATCTGGCCATCAGCAGCAAAGACCTCATTCACTCCACCACAAAAGGCAGTTTATTACTTGGTAGGAAACAGCATGCATGTCATTCCTCTGTTTCCTGAGTGTCGCACGCTACAGATGTACTTAAATTGTTTGGCTAGATACCAACACAATAAGTTGAAAAGGTCAAAAGCGCATTTGCCAACTGCTGCTCTTGAGAGATGCTGTCCTCAAGGGGCCGTCTGGGGGAGAGAATGGCCACCACTGTCCTGGGCCCCGAGGACAATTTGTTTTAGGCCTCTGAAGCCCCATTTCACAAACAGACCGCACATTGTACCCTCTGCTTGGTGAAGGGCTGGGAGGTGGGGCGGCCTGGAGATGGAAGTCCAGATGACTCGGGGCGAGAAAGCTTTTGACAAAGAGCAGGCGCCAGGGGGCTGCTAGTGGAGAGCAGTGTGGCAATGTGGGGCTGGTACCCAGAGCACAGGGCTGCTCGGCTGCTCTGTGTAGCCACTCACAGAGATGGAGAGTGGCTGTAAAACCATCCCCTGCCAAAGGCTTGGCTCAGGCACACTGAGGTGCTGCTTTACTTTCACCTTGCACTGATGTGTCAGGGTGTTGCATTGTGTCTCTGTGTGGATTCATGGGAGAATGGAGTTCCAGGTCTTGAATGGTTTTCTACATATTTCAGTCTGTAATAAGTGTTCAAGGCCAAGTTGGAGGGAGTTTTGAGCAACCTGATCTGGTGGAAGGTGTCCCTGCCCATGGCAGGGCGGTTGGAACTAGGTGATCTGTAAGGTCCCTTCCAACCCAAACCATTCTACAGTTCAACAATTCTATAACATAGACTTCTGTTCAGTGGCCGCTATCCCCTGCTTCCCTCCCCCACCTACAAGTGTTCACCCTGCCTTAGCATCCCTGCCCCAGAGGTTGCAGAGCTCTTTGAGACTGGCACTTCAATTATATCGTTTTATCGTTTGATTTTTGCCTTTTCTGTTGCACCAGCTCTCCAACCTGTCTTCGCAGGCAGATGCACGAACAGCAGTACCCACAAAGTAGAGAGAATGATTGAGGGGCTGAGAATAAAGAGACAAGCTGCAGGGTTGGCACATGGCATACTTAAGGCAGCAGGAGCATCAACGCCTCCCCAAGTATCACTACAATCTAAAAGAGTGGGGAAAAGGAAAAAAAAAGAAGAGCTCATGAGAGTCACCTCCATTCTTACACCTGAGTTAAGCAGAAGAGTTTCCAACAGAGTGGGAAGAGATCCTTGTTTTCTCTCTTCTATTTGAGGGATGCCTGCAGCTCAGCAATGTGCAGAGCTAACTTCTTTGTGCCAAGGCTTTGGGACCTCACAGCAGAGAAGCTGAAGGGAGAACCCTTCTGGAGACTGTTTTTAAATCAAGAATTCAGCAGCAGCCGTCCAACTCCCTGAACTGGTGCTCCTGGAGAACATGTTCTCATATGCTATGCCTTGATACTAAGCCACTGATTTCAAAATATTTACAGTGACTGTTACTAGAGTTAACAAATCTGAATTTCATTCTAGTCCAACTACTCCATCTAGTGTTTAATCCTCATAGTTTCACATTGTTCAAAATGTTTTTGTATCCTCAGTATCTTGCAATTGCATCAGGTTTCTCACTGTAGTTGATACTTAAAGCTCCAACTTCTGGAGACAAATGGTTACCTGAAAAAGGTGAATGGGGACTTTTTTTGTCTAGTTGCTTATTTTGAGCAGTTTTCAATCCCTGTGGTTTTTAGTAGAGCTTGAAATCTTGACAACATATGCCCTCAAAAGGCAACCAATAAAAGTTCTGTATTTATTTTATGTGACTTAATGGTTTCTGAGCTATTTTTTGTTGATGGAACCTAGATCCCAAGCTAAGTAGTTTTGGAAGATCTGAGCTGTCACATGTTTGAGGCTGTATTCACACATAAACTATTAGTATTGATCTCTTCTGCCTTTCGTATTTTAGACCTGGTAGGAACCAGATGAGCCCATGTCTTGAGATTAGATGTGCCTTTGCTAAATTCGCCCCACCATTCATTGCAGTGGCAAAGAATTTGTAGCAGGTTGGTACTTCCCTAGTGACCCATTGGAGTGAGTCCAGAGTAGGGCCACAAAGATGGCTGCAGCACCTCTCCTATGGAGACAGGCTGAGAGAGTTGGGATTGTTCAGCCTAAAAAAGAGAAGGCTCCAGAGAGACTTTCCAGTACCTAAAGAGGGCCTACAAGAAATCTGGAGAGGGACTTTTTACAAAGGCATGTAGGGATAGGAGAAGGGTTGATGGTTTTAAACTGAAAAAAGGGAGACTTAGATTAGATATTAGGAAAAAAAATATTCACAGGGTGGTGAGACACTGGCACAGGTTGCCCAGAGAAGCATTGGCTGCCCCATCCCTGGTAGGGTTCAAGGCCAGGTTGGACGGGACTTGGAGCAACCTGCTCTAGTGGAAAGTATGGGTTGGAACTAGATGATCTTCAAGGTCTCTTCCAACCCAAACCATTCTATGATTCTCCTCAGGTTTATGACCAGCATACAGGTTGAGTCTCTCCTACACGGATACATCATGTCATACAACCATGTATGTACTGGAGCACTCTGTGTTTGTAGAGGAGTGGTTTCTGTTCACCTTGCATTTATTTCAAAGCAGTGTACTAGGCCATTTCTAATTTACTTTTTAGCAAGTATTAACAATTCAGAACAGATTTTTGCCTTGAGGACTAGCACCTAATGTGCATCACAGAGGTACAGTATTGCCAAATCTGTTGAAGTTAGCAGAAGCCACTCCAAATTTCTTGCTTTTTCTCTTAAAACGTCCACTCCTGGGGGTGAAAAATCAGCTTCATTATTTTAATATCCAAGTTAACTGTATCTCTATCATCTCTATCATTCCTCATTACAGAAAGAAGTCACAAGACATGTTTTCAGAGTTCAAAAATAAATCCATTTTGTGTAAATCATAATCTGTGAACGACAGGAGTTAGCAATGCAGATTGCAATTTACAGCAGAGGCAACGGTGGATGCAGGAGGAGATAGCCCATCTCCCTGAGTGCCTTACCCACAGTGCTGGATCTCAGCCTTGGTTCCCTCTCAGAGGCTGTGAAGCAGCTCCAGCCCCTTCCCCATGTTATTCCAGTTATGGCATCCTGACTGAACATCTCCCGCACCGCAGCAGCCCCACACTAGCAGGATCAAACCAGCCTGGTGATACATTGCACAGATACAGTGTTGCAGAGGTCACTCTCAAGAGAATTTGGTCCCACTCTCAGAGAGTTGAATGGCCTGATCATTGGAAAAGAAAAGTTGTGTTTTCTTAGTTACATGGGGAAACTTTCAATGGGGATGGATACTTTCTGGGAACATTATGGGCTACTACTTCCCATGGTGTTCATATGTCCTTCTGTTTATTCATTACTA